TCAACTACACCGGGACCCCCGGGGCCGTGGGCAGGGGCAGTTTCATCTACAAGGTGAGGGGGGTGGGCTGGGCTGGCAGGGAGTCACCGTGTCCATCCTGGGGGTCCCTGTGTCCATCTCTGGGGGTCTCATGTCCATCCTGGGGGTCTCTGTGTCCATCCCTGGGGGTCCCCGTGTCCATCCTGGGGGTCTCTGTGTCCATCCCTGGGGGTCTCATGTCCATCCTGGTGGTCCCTGTGTCCATCTCTGGGGGTCTCACGTCCATCCTGGAGGGCCCTGGGTCCATCCTGGGGCATCCCCATGTCCATCCTGGAGGGCCCTATGTGTGTGTCCCTGGGTGTTCCCCACATGTGTCCTGGGGGGTCCCATGTGTGTCCTGCTGTCCCTGAGTACCCCATATCTGTCCTGGGGGGGTCTCCACATCTGTCCTGGGGGCGGGGGGCTTCAGGTCAATCCCGGGGGACCCCACGTCCATCCTACCATCCCACGCTGCCTGTGTCCATGCCCCCTACACCCCCCCATACCCCTCCCCGGGGGTCTGACGCCCCGCCCCCGCCCCTCTCCCCAGCTTTTCTCGCCCTTTGAGATCGTTCGGTTCGACGTGGCCACGGGAGCCCCGGAGCGGGACCGGGCCGGGCGCTGCATCCGCGCAGGGCCGGGTGAGAGGAGGGGCCGGGGGGGCTGGGAGGAGTCCTGAGGGTCCCTCCCATCACCCGCCCCCTCCCCGCAGGCGAGACGGGGCTGCTGATCGCGCCGGTGACCCCCCGGACCCCGTTCCTGGGCTATGCGGGCCCCCCCGAGCTGTCAGAGCAGAAGCTGCTCCGGGGGGTCTTCGCCGAGGGCGACGCGTTTTTCAACACCGGGGACCTGGTGGAGCAGGACCGGGACCAGTTCGTGCGGTTCCGGGACCGCATCGGAGACACCTTCAGGTGCCACCGCCCCCCCCGGGAGGGGGGACACCCCCTGGCACCCCCCGGCAACCCCCACCCCAGGGGGACAGCGCAGGACCCCCAGACCCACAGCTGTGTGTGGGCAGGGGGGCTCGGCCCTGTTAAATGTGATGGGGGGCTCAGCCCCATTAGATGTGATGGGGGGCTCAGTGCCACTAAATGTTGGGAGGGGGCTCAGCCCCACATTCTGGGCGTACTCAGCCCAATTAAATGTTGGGGGGGTGTCTCATCCCTATTAAACTTTATCGGGGGGCTCAGCCCCACATTCTGGGGGGTCACAGCCCCACATTTTGAGGGGGGGTCTCAACCCCATTAAATATTATGGAGGGGTTCAGCCCCATTAAAAATTACAGGGGAGCTCAGCCCCACATTTTGGGGGATCTCAACCCCATTAAACCTTTCGGGGGAGGGTCTTGGCCCCATATTTTGGGAGGGTCTCAGCCCCATTAAAGGTTTCGGGGGGGTCTCATCCCCCCGTCCCGTCGTTCCCAGGTGGAAGGGGGAGAACGTGGCCACCACAGAGGTGGCCGAGGCCCTGCTGGCCCACGAGTCCCTGCAGGAAGCCACCGTTTATGGGGTCACTGTCCCAGGTACCACAGCCCCCGACCCCACACGGGCCCCTTGCCCTCCCGCCACAGGCCCTCGGAGCCCCCCACGGTGCCTCTTTGTCCCCAGGGCACGAGGGCCGTGCCGGGATGGCGGCGCTGGTGTTGCAGCCGGGACATTCCATGGATGGGCCAGGGCTGTTCCGGCATCTGGAACAGCTGCTCCCACCCTACGCGCGGCCCCGCTTCCTCAGGGTGCAGGTATTGGGGTCTGGGGTCCGGGGTTTGGGGTCCAGGGTTTGGGGTTAGAGGTTTGGGGTCCTGATTCCTCCAGCTGCAGGTAATGGGGATCCAGGGTTTGGGATTTGGGGTCCTGGGATTTGGTGTCTGGGGTACAGGGTTTGGGGGGGTCAGGTCCTTCCTGGGGGTTCCTGTGTCCATCATGGGAGTCCCCACGCGTGTCCTGAGGGTCCCGGGGGGTCCCCGACACTGCCAGTGCCCCCCAGGAGCGGCTGGAGATGACAGAGACATTCAAGCAGCAGAAGGTCCGTCTGGCTCAGGAAGGGGCCGATCCTGGGATCGTTCCCGACCCGCTCTTCCTGCTGGACGAGGCCTCCCAGTCCTACATCCCGCTGGATCCCAAGCTCTGGGAGCGGCTCCGGGCTGGGCACCTCCGTATTTAACCCCCCACGGGAGACCCCAAAGCTCCTGGGGGGCCCCAGAGCTGGGCCCGGGGCTGTCCCAGGGGCTGCGGGGGCTCCGTGTCTGTCCTGGGGGTCCCCAAATCTGTCCTGCCACCACCTTGAACCCCACACCCATCCTGGGGGGGTCCCCTCATCTGTCCTAGGGGATCCCCCTTTTCGTCCCGCGGGTCCCCACATCCAACCTGGGGGTCCCCAAGTCCATCCTGCCACCCCTGTGATCCCCACACCCATCCCAGGGGTCTCCACATCTGTCTTGGGGTCTCCCATGTCCGTCCTGTGGATCCTCAAATCTGTCCGGGGGGGGGGAGTCCCCACGTGTGTCTTGGGGGTCCCTGTGTCCATCCCGGGGGTCCCCACATCCCCCCCCCCATTCCCAAGTGCCTCCTGGTCTCCATGTCCCCCCTGTTCCCAACCCGGGGGGGTCCCTGTTCCCCCCCAGTGCCTCCCCCCACCCGGGGGCTCTTTATACACAAAAATCCTCATTTTTGGGGTCTTTTTTTTTTGGCAAATAAAACTCTTTTGTAGCAAAATCTGGTTGTTGGCACCCCCAGATTTTGGGAGGGGAGAGAGTGTGTCATCCCTGGGTGGGGGGAGGATCACCCCCAAACTGGGGAGGGGGACACAAAGACCCAGTTCCATATCCTGGGGGTGGGGGGGGGAGAAGGATTTGGGAGAGGAAAATGGGGGAGGGGTGTCCCACCCAGATTTGGGGGTTCCCACATGGATTTCGGGGAGTTTCCCCTCCTCCCAATTTCTTCCCCCCCCCCCCAGTGGAAATTATTCGTCTCTTTATTAAATAAATATTACAAAGGGTTTAATTTTAATCCAGTTTATTTCACTTTAAATCTTCCTCCAAAAACTGGGGAGGTCTTCAACCCTCTCAAGGTGTCCCCCCCGACTTTGCTGTTGGCCCCGAGCTCAAATCCAATGGAAAAGAGGGAAAAGAAGGGGGGGAAACCCCTTAAATATGTGCAAAAAGCCCCATTTCCATTCCCCTCCAAAAAAAACCCATCCAGGCCAGAAATTGGGTCTAAAATCCTGCAAACTGGGGCCAAAATCCTCCAAACTGGGACCAAATCCCACAAATCGGGGCCTGAAATCCCCAAATTTTGGCCTGAATCCAGAAATTTGGGATAAAATCCGGTAAATGAAGCAGAAAAGTGCAAATTCAGGCCAAAAATCCATAATTTCAGCCTGAAATCTAAAAATTTGGTCTAAAATCCTGGGAATTTGGGCTGAAAAAAAATGGAAAGTGGGACCAAAATCTCCAAATTTGGTCTGAAATCCTGAAAATAGGGGCTGAAGCTCTGAAATTTTGGTCTGAAATCCTGAAAATTTGGGCCCAAATTCCCAAACTGAGGTGGAACTCCCCCAAATTTTCCCCAAACCGAACACATCCCCCCCACCCCACCCCTTAGCCCAGCATTCCCACGGTAGTTTCTTTTGGGGAATGTGGCCACAGGAAGAGACCAATTCAAGACAAAAATCACTGCAAATATGGGAATAGGGACCCCTTGCCCCTCCGCCTCCCCCAAATTGGGCCAAAATCCTGCAAATCTGGGCTGAAATCCTACAAATTGGCCTGAAATGCTTCAAATTTGGGCCCAAACCCCCCAACTTTACCCTGAAATCTAGAAATTGGGTCTAAAATCCTGAAAATCAAATCCCCAAATTTGACTGGAAAACCAAAAACTGAGACCAAAGTCCTGAAAACGGGCTGAAACCCAACAAATTGGGCTGAAATTTTGCTTTTTGGTACCAAAAATCCATATTGCCCAGAAACTCAGAAACCTGGGCCTGAAATCCTGGAAATGGGGTCTGAAATCCTTCAACAAGGCCAGAACCTTGGGAATTTGGGGCAAAAATCCCCCAAACGCAACCTAAAATCCTTGGACTTCGGTCTGAAATAACAGAAACCAGATCCAAATGGCAGCAAATCAGGGCTGAAATCCAAAAATCGGGTGTAAAACCCCCAAAACTGGGGCTGAAATCCCACAGATGTTACAGAAATCCCCAAGATTTTGCCAGAAACCCCAAAATCCAGGATGAAACCCGGGCTGAAACCCCCAAAATTCAGGCCAAAATTCAAAATCCCCCAAATGAGGCCAAGGTCCCCCAGATTTGTCCCAAACTCCCCCAAATTGCCCCCAACCCCCCCCAATCCCGCCCCCTCCTCCCGATGCCGGGGCTGTGGGGCCGTGTCCCGGGACTGCGGGCGCAGGAAGAGGCTCAGCCGGGGTAGTTGGAGCCGTGTATTGTCTCGATGCCAATCCAGAATAAAAACAGTGCAAATACAGGAACAGGGACCCCCCGGCCCCCCAAAATCCACCTCCCGCCCCCCTGACGCCCCCCCGGGGGGTCCCGCTGCCGCCCCGGCTGTGAAAGGCACAATTTTCGGGAAGTGCAGCCCCGGGGGGGGCCCCGAAATCCCGGAGACCCCCCCCAGCACCATCCCCCCCTCCCTCCCCCCCAAAGACCCCCGGGGACCCCCCGGGCCCCCCCCGGGCCCCCCCTTTGCACGGTTCATGTCACACACAACGAGGTCACACGACAAGGACGTGACACTTCCACAATGATCCCGGGAGACTCCCCCGGGAATTTCGGGGGGTTTTGTGGTTTTTCTTTTTTTTTTTTTTCTTTTTTTTTTTTTTTTTGTGTTTTTTTGTTTTGTTTTTTTCCATAGTTTTTGTTTTCCCCTTTTTTTTCTCATCTGTTTTTTTCTTTTTTTCTACACAATGTACAAGGTTTGATTTTTATTATTGTTATTTTTTTCTTCTTTTTTTGTCTTTTTTTTTGCCTTTTTTTGTCTTTTTTTTTTTTTTTGCCTTTTGAACAGGAAACAGCTCATTCTTTTTTTTTTTTTATATATACACGGACGAGTCCTGGTTATATCGGCAGCGAGAGCGGAAGCAAACGGGATTGGGGGGGTGGGCAGGAATTTGGGAATTCTGAGGGAATCCAGGACAGGATTTGCCTTTGGAGGAAACAAAATTAAAAAAACCAACCCCCTCCCTCCCCCCCAAAAAAACGAAACCAAAAGAAACCAAAAAGAAGCGTTTTCACAAGCGGAAAAATCTACCCCTAAAGCTGGAAAAAAAGCGGGAAAAATCCTCAATTCGGAGCTGGGGGGGGGGGGGGGGAATAAAAAATGGGAATTCTCTGGGATATCACAGCCCTGGGGGCGGGGTGGGGCAAGCCAAAAATAATAATAATTAGAATAATAATAATAATAAAAATAGGGAGGAACCTGTGCTGGGAAATCGGGGAGGGGGAAGGGATGGATCCAATCCCCCCTTGGGATTTTGGGAATGGGGTTGGGGGGAATTTTGAGGGGAGGGGTGTGTGGCCTGGGGTCACTTTTGGCGGAGAGGGAATTGCCTGGGATCCCAGGAAGGGGGGGGGGGGGTCAGTTTGTGATTGGGGTGGGGTCAATTTGGGGAAGGAAGGTGGGGCATTGTCATCAACCCCCCCAGGAAGGGGTTTGGGTCAGTTTTGGGGTGTGGGAGGATCATTTGGGGGGGAGGATCATTTGGGGGGAGGAGGGAAAGGATCATTTTTGGGGGGGGGAACTGCCTGCAGCCCCCGGGGCTGAGACCCCCCAGGGAGGGGTGACAGGGGTGTCCCCCCCCCGAATTTCACTTTATAGCACCATGAATTCGGCACCTCAAACCCCCCCGGGCCCCCCCCGGGCCCCCCATTATTGCACTTGGTTTTCTCTTTTTTCCGGGTTTTGTCTCTTTTTTTCTGGGTTAACCCCGCCCATTTTGACAGGTTTTGAATCAATTTTATCACTTAAAACTCAGCCCTGTCGGGGACACCCGGGGACGGGGTCAGTGGCACTTGGGGGGGGGCAGAGGGGGGTCCCCATGGTGTGTGGGGGGAAATAACTCCCCCAAAGCAAAATAAACCCCTAAAATAACCCAAAACTTCAGGTTTTAGCCCCCAAAAAAACATTTGTCAAAGTGCTCCTGGGGTGAGAAAAGGGGATTTTTGGAGGGGAAAGGGGAAAAGGGGATTTTGGGGTAAGAAAAGGGGATTTTGGAGGGAAAAAGGGAATTTCGGGGGGGAAGGAAGGGGGGTTTTGGGAGTGGAAAGGGGGTGGAGGCAGCTGAAAAAGGTCAAACCAACAAAAGCACCCCCAAAATTATAAATTTGACATAAAACCCCGCTAAATTAAAAAAAAATAATTAAAATTGTAAAACCCCCACTGTTCTTTTGCCTCTTTTTGGGAGGGGTCTGACACCCCCCCTCGCAGTAAGTGCTCTTTGAATTTTGGGGGGGGTAGAGAGGGGTCACCCCCAGTGCAGGGGTGGGGTGGGGTCCCCCCATGTTTAGGGAGTGGGTGGGGGGGGTCCCCTCTCTCTAAATTAGGGGTGGGATCCCCCCTCCCCCAACTCAGGGGTTGCTTGGGGGTCCCCCCAATTGCTTTAGAGGGTGGGTGGGGGTCTCTCCCCTGCCCCCATTTCAGGGGGGCAGAGTTTGGGAATTGCACGAGAGAGTTGGGAATGTTGAGGAAAGGGTCAAAAATTCAGGGAAAAAATGGGAATTCCTTAAAAATCTCATTGAACCTTAAAAAACTGGGAAGAAAAGTGTTGGGAATGGGGGGGGAGGGTGAGGAGGAAGAGGAGGAAAAGAGGAGGAAGAAGAGGAGGAAGGTGAGGGGGAGGAAGCTGAGGAGGAGGGTGAAGAAGGTGAGGAGGAGGATGAAGAAGGTGAGGGGGAGGATGAGGAAATCGGGGATGAGGAGGATGAAGAAGGTGGGAAAGGGCCCGTGAAGGTTTAAGTGCAAATCGAGCGTTTTCTCACGGCTCATTCCTTGGTTTGGGGTGTCCCTGACACCTCCTGGGGACACCAGAGACCCCCCAGTGCCACCCCCAGGGGACACCAGTGACACAGGGGACCCCAGAGACCCTGGTGCCATTCAGGGACCCCCCCAGGTGACACAGGGGATGCTGGTGTCACCTGTCACCATTCCCAGGGGACACAGGTGACATGGGCAAGTGGCTCCAGGACATGCAGGGATTGGGATGGGATTGGAGATGGGATTGGGGACAGAGGGACTCACCAGGCCTGAGGCCACCCAGCTTGGCTTCACCACCTGCCCCAGAGGGTGACAGAGACAGGGACACCACGGGGTGGCACCTCAAGGGGTCCCTTTGTGTCACAGGGAGGGAACCCCGGGGGTGGGTCCAGCTCCGTCCGTTGGTCCCAGGGACGTCCAGGGACACCCAGCAGGCTCCGGATGAGGGAGCCCCAGGGTTGGGATGGGATCCAAAGGGTCGGGATGGGATCCATGGGGTTGGGATCGGCGTCTCCTGGATCCTTCTGGAGCCCAGGGGGTTGGGACACACCGGGATTGGAGCCGAGGGGGTTTGTGATCCCTGGGATCGGAGCCGAGGGGTCGGGATCAGCATCTCCTGGATCCTTCTGCGGAGCCAACAGGGTTGTGGTGCCCTGGGATGGGATCTGAGGGGTCGGGATCAGCGTCTCCTGGATCCTTCTGCAGAGCCCAGGGGGTTTGTGATCCCTGGGATGGGATCCAAGGGGTCAGGATTGGCGTCTCCTGGATCCTGCAGAGCCAAGGGGGTTGTAACACCCCGGGATTGGATCCAAAGGGGTCGGGATCGGCGTCTCGTGGATCCTTCTGCGGAGCCTTGGGGGTTAGGACACCCCGGGGTCAGAGTTGAGGGGGTCTGGGACCCTTGGGATGGGAGCCAAAGGAATTTATGGCTCCCAGGGTTGGAGCCAAGGGGGATGTGACACCCCGGAATCGGAGCTGGGGGTGCTGTGACACCCTGGGATTGGAGCTGAGGGGGTTTGGGACTCCTGGGATTGGAGCCAAAGGGGGTTTGGGACCCCTGGGATTGGAGCCAAAGGGGGTTTGGGACCCCAACTCCCCCCGGAATCAGCACAGGCTGCCCTTAAATTCCCCCCCATGGGGCCTGGAATTCTGGGAAGGTGCCCTGCCAAAGTCTCTTCTGGAAAAGGAGTAAAAAAGCTTTAACCATCCAGGGAGCGAAGGAAAATGGGGGGGGGATAAGGAAAAAAGGGCAAAAAAACAATCCACAACACAAGGAAAAAGCGTCGGCAATACAAAACCAGTGGCGAGCGGCCGGAGCCGCCCCAGCCTCACGCCCAGGGAGCGATCCCTGCTGGAAAACCAAGGGAACTGGGGCTGGGAGAAGGAGCGGGCGCTGTCTGAAGTGGGGGTGGGGTCGGTTTGTCTGTCTGTCTGTTTTCCCAGGTGGGATTTTTTCCGGTTTCTCGTTGCGTTTCCCCGGAGCGGAGGCCCCAGTCCGGCCCGGTCTGGCCCAGTCCGGCCCAGTTGGCCCAGTGCAGGCACTGCAGGCGGGTGGGGGCAGCGGGCGCTATTTCTGTCCGCTGATGGCCTGGGATATGGAGCGGGGCGGGATCATATCCAGCAGGTATTCCCGCTGCCGGTCTGCCAGGCTCGACGCTTTGTGGCCGCCGATCCCGGCGTTCAGGTAGGCGATGTTCACCCCTGCGGGACATGGACCCTCGGCACCCCGGAGCCGGAGCGTGCCAAAACCCACCCCCTCTCCTTGGGATCGGGGGCAGGAGCAAGGTGGGAATTCCCAAAGCTGGCTCGGCAATCCAAGGGGCACAGCAGGGCCTGTCTGATCCCATCCTGCTCAGCCCATCCCATCCCATCCCATCCTGCTCAGCCCATCCTGCTCATCCCCTTCCATCGTGCCATCCCATCCCATCCCATCCCACTCATCCCATCCCATCCCATCCCACCCCTGTCCCTAGGAGGGTCCGTACCTGGCATCCCGAGGAGTCCCCCGGCCACGGAGAGCTGCGGGGCCTGGGCGAAGTTGGAGAGCATGGAGCGGGCGGAGGTGGGAATTCCGCGCTGGAGGCTGCTCTGGGGCTGCGGGGCCTGGGGGGACAGGACACGGACATGGATACACTGGGGGGCTCCCGGACCACCCGGAATGGGGGAGTGGGACAGTGGGGCACCCCCATCATCCCAGCCTGTCCCCTCCCAATGATGCCATGCCATGCCATCCCATCCCACCCCATCCCGTGCCCTCCCCTCTCCCCATCCCCTCTTGCTCATCCCACCCCCCATTCCCATGCCGTTCCCACCTGCCGGAGCGTGTGGTGCCGCAGGATCCCGTCCTGTTTCCCAACGCTGGGAACGGCAGGAGCGGCCGTGGGGGACAGGGCCGCCTGCTGCTGGAGCCGCTGCTCGATCTCCTGTGCCAGGGAATGCCCAGCCCGTCACATTCCCACCCGGAATGGGACCCTGCCCCTTTCCAAGACACCTCCCGCACCCAGCACCTGGATTCCATCTCAGATTGAGTTTTATCCCATTTATGCCAGATGGATTATTATTAATGCAGCAGATTCCCCATCCGAAAACAAGCCAGCAAGTGGGTAAGAGGCTTCCCAAGGGAAAACTGGAAAGGGATAGGATGGGGCTAGCAAGATGGGATGGGATGAGCAGGATGGGATGGGCAAGTGGTTTGGGATGGGATGGGCGCTTTGGAATGGGCTGGGCCGGGTGTGTCAGCGCTCCCACCGCAGACCCCTGTTTTCCCCCAGCTCCGGCGCATCCTGGGCCTGACCTGCTCCTGCTGCAGGGCCTTGACGAAGGCGTTCTTGAGGCGGTTCGTGTGCTCGGCCTTCAGGGCCTTCTTCTGGTTGGACGTCTGGCACTGCTCGCACAGGATGCGCCCGCCCTTCTCCTGCTTCCAGTGCGGCGTGAAATCCGTGCGGCACTGCCCACACACGAAGGGCTCCACACGCAGGGACACCGGGCAGCTCTTCCCTGGAATGGCACAGGGATCATGGGATACTGGGATAACCCCCTGCCTGCACACGAAGGGCTCCACGTGCAGGGACACCGGGCAGCTCTTCCCTGGAATGGCACAGGGATCATGGGATACCGGGATAACCCCCTGCCCACACACCAACGGCTCTACACAGAGCCTGGTATCATACACATGATTTGGCCTGAAATCCCACAAGTTTTGCCTGAAATCCTCCAAATCAATCCCAGAATCCTGAAATTTCGCACTGAAACCCCAGACTCTGCCCTGACCCCCCCCAAACCCTTCCCAAATTCCCTGTTTTCCCAGGAATTCCCTGGGAACACCCACCTTAGCTGTTACCACCTCCTCCAGCCCCACCGGGCAAAGTAGTCAGAGCAACAGGAGAGCCCCCAGGAAACCCCCAAATCCGGGCTAAAAACCCCCGATTTCACCCCGCACCACCCTAGACTCCCACTTTTTTTGGGAAAATCCGGCGGGAACACACACCCTGGCTGTCGATGACGCTCTGCACCACCTCCTCCAGCCCCACCATGTAGATGAACTCGGAGTTGGCGGCGCTGGGCAGGAAGTGCAGCAGCGGCGCCGGCGGCTTGGGCGGCGGGATCTCCAGGAGTGTCTTTTCCAGCTGCTTCCGGAGTGCGAGCTTGGCGGCCGCCTGGGAATTGGCGGCGTCGGACAGAGCGCTGGGGCTCGGCAGCGGCGACGACACGCGGGCCACGGAGCCCGATGGGAGGTGGGATGCGAGGTTCATGTAGATGGCAGAGGACGAGGAGCGCTGGCACGGCACCGACGAGCCGGACTGCTGCAGGGACAGGGAGAACAGTGGGATCAGCGGGGAGAACAGCGGGATAACGGGGCTGGACCGCTGCGGAGACAGCAGTCCAACCACTCCAAACCATCTCAAGCCATCCCAAACCATCCCAACCCAATCCAACCCTCTCCAAACCATCCCAACCCACGCCAACTCATCCCAGCCCAGCTCCTGCCGGTGCCCATCCCACGCACCGGCTGGTAGTTGATAGTGGGGGTCATGCTGGGGGTGTTGCTCCGCACCAGGCCGGGTTTCTGTGGCAGCCGCTGCCCCTGGAGCTGCGCTGGGTTGGGGGCGATGACGCGCTGGGACATCAACATGTGGGGCAGCGCCGAGCTGGCGGCCGAGCGGATCACCGAGTGCCCCTGGGAGATCAGGGAGAGAGCCACAGGTCACTGGGGATCACTGGGAATCACTGGGAATCATGGGACACACCCACAGGGATGGTGGGTCCAACTCTTGTATCGACACGAGTCAACCCAACGATTCCACTGCGCTCAGTAAAATAAATAAAATAAGGGATTTGAGGCAAACCTGGAGCTTTAATTCTCTCATCCAGGGGATTCCCACTTATCCATAATTCCTAAGATTCAAAATCCTTCTCTTTTTCCAAAATTATCCTTGATTTTAAATAACTGAGGCCATTTTGGAGGGAGGTGGACACAGGACAACCCCAACAATCCAGTTGGGTAAACACTCCTTGGAGTTGGTGAAATAAATAAAATAGGATAAAAATAAAGGATTTGAGGCAAACCTGGAGCTTTAATTCTGTGATCCAGGGAATTTCCGCTTACCCCAGAATCCCAGTTAACTCCTAATGCTTAAAATCCTTCACTTTTCCCTCAAATTTGCCTTCATTTTAAATGATTGTGGCCCTTCTGGAGGGAGAACGGCTTGAGCCAACAATTTTCCATGGAGAGGCTGGAATTGCTCTGGAGTCAAGGAAAGGGGCAGGAATATGTGGAGAAACCACTTTCCAGAGCCAGGTGGCTTAGTGGGAAGAGACGGACACAGGACAATCCCAACAATCCTGTTGTCCAAATGCTCCTTGGACTCCCTAAACTCAGCAAACTAAATAACACAAAAATAAGGCTAGAATGTGAATCCTTTGGGAAAAGCAGGAAGGCTACAGGCAGAGGCAATGTCCTCACCCCATCCCAATAGGGACACAGGATATCTAAGGAATCATGGAATATCAAGCTGGATCCACAAGGATCGTGGGGTCTAATTCCCGCCCAGCACAACCCCAAACCCCAACTCCTGGCATTGGGAAATGCCAGAACTCCTCTGCCTCCTGGAGAAGGGATCTCAGCTGGGTGTGCATCCAGCAGAGCGGGTGTTTTCCAGGGAAAAGGGGGAACGCTCACCTGCAGTGTCCGTAAGTTCTGTGGCTCCACACCCTGGGCTCCGGGCCGGGCTGGGATCTTGGACAGGCCCTGCTGCCCCACGTGGGCCGGCGACGGCTGCACGATGGAGGCGGCGTTCTGGACAACAGGGGTCTGGATCGGGAATGGGGGGGAGAGCCGGGATCAGCCCCCGGAGAGACGGAATTCCACGAGTTGTGATGCTGAGCACCACAGGTTTGTGTTCCCAGCTGTGCCAGGGCCACGGATTTGGGGGATTTCCCACGGGATGTGCCACGCGTGGTCCTTCCTGTTATCCCTCCCATCCCAAGCCTCACCTTTTGGACCACGTTCTCCTTCTGGAGTTGGCTCTGTCGCAGCTTCTTCAGGAGCACCAGTCGGGCCTCCTCCAGCCGTAGCTCATCCCGGAGCTGCTTGATCAGCTGCTGCCGCTCCTCCAGGCTCTTCCCCTGGAAAAACCAGGAACACCGGGAAAACGTGAGGGAAAGACCAGAAGGAAGCTCAACCTGAGCGGGAATTTGGATCATTTGGGTGGATTTGGGAGCAGGAAGTGGGTGGTTGTGCCGGGAAGTTGCTGGGAGGGCCCAAAGCCACCGGAATTCCGGGCTCCCTCACCTTGAACATCTCCAGGTTGGCGGCCTTGAGCCGCTCCTCCATGCGGGAGCTGGAGCGGGGGCTGGAGGCCTCGTTGTCCGACAGCACGATGATGTCTGGGGATGGCGTCAGGCGGCCCCGCTCCGGGTCACTGCAGGAACACACCGGGATGAGCCAGGAAAGCAGGAATCCCGCACCGGGACCACCCCTCAATCCAACACGGATCCCAGCTGGAACACGGCCCCGCCCCCCCAGGGAGTCCAATCCCTCCAAACCACCCCGGCAGGGGAGAGGGGGAAGCTCCAGGTGGGCAAATCCCACCTGGGAATTGGGAATAATGCAGATTCTAATCCAGACTCTGGGATGTTCCAGCCTGGAATGGCTCATCCTCACCACGGTGTAGGGGAGAAGGGGACAAGCCCTCCCGGTAATGCCATCATTCCAAACCTATCCCAGCCCAAATCTATCGGAAAAGCACAGTCCCTAAAGGAAAACCCGAGTAAATATCCAATGGATCTGTGAGGGAATCAGAAAACAAAAGGAACAGCTGGGAAAAGAAAGACTGAACTAAAAGCCAGTGTTGGGATCCAGGGATTATCCCCGGGAAGGAGATGCAGATTTCATGTCTTCGTGCTGGAGAGCCTTGGAAAACTGTGGAATAATCCAGTGTGGAGCCATGGAAGCAGCCGGGATTGTCGTGCCCCAGCTCCCTGGAAGGTCCTTGGAGTGAGGAGATCATGGAATACCACATCCCAAACTCTCAGCTCCAAACACCCAGGAGGAAACATGGAGCCTGATCCCAGATTTAGCTGCTCTGAAGATGCTCAGAGGGGGAGCTGTCTTTGTCTCCCAAACATTCCAGTTGTTTCTGTGGATATTCCAAAGCACTGGAGCTGCCCCTTCTCCAGCAGAGAAGGTCCAGAGCATCCCATGGAGATGGATCCAGTAGGAGCTCATCCAAGCAATCCAAGTTGCGTCCCAGGAGTTTCAAACCAGAGGGATCCAGCAGCGGATCCTGGTCCAGGATTTTCCCCACAGCTGGCAGGGATGATTTTGCAGGAGCAACTGGATAAATCCAGGCTGGATTATTTACATTCCATTGAGGGAGTAACACAAAGCCAAAGTCCAAATCCAACAGGAAAATCCACAAGGAATCACCGGATTTCCTTTGTCCAGGAAAGAGCAGAATTCCAAGGGAACCACTGGAACAGGAGCTACAGCGAGGGAGGTGGGAAGATGTGGAGCACGTTTCCAGGGAAAATCCAGGGAAATGAGACACCCCCCATGAAACTTCACAATGATTTCCAAACTTAAGAGTGGGATATTCCCACCTCCTTCCAGGGCTGACCCCTGATCCAAGTGTCTGGTGCTGGTGCCCAACTGGATTCCTTTCATCTCGCACAACATCCATGGAATTCCAGGGACGCAGTCCATGGACTCCGCACTCGGAGCAGGGACACCTTCCATAGCCCAGGCTGCTCCAAGTCCTGTCCAACCTGGCCTTGGACACTTCCAGGGATGAAGAACCCACAAATCCCCTGGATAACCTGTGCCACCCCCTACACAAGAAAGAATTCCCAATTCCCACATTCCCAACTGCTTCCTGACATCCCACTTAACCAAACTGTCCACATGAATCCATTGCCTCTTATCCCACCATTCCCACGTCCCTCTCCAGCTCTTGGAGCCCCTTTATCCACTGGAATCGGATCTACCAGACCCCCCAAATCCCATTTAATCTCTGACCAGGCTTCTTCCACCTCTCTCATCCCAGCATCCCCGCACCGACCTCCTCCTGGCTGCTCCCATCCCGGCATTCCCACTCCCATCCCAGCATTCCCACACCCACCTCCTCCTGGCGCTCATGTCCACGGGCTCGTCGTTGATGTTCTCCTTGCCGGGCCGGGCCGAGCCCCTCCCGTCCCCGTGGGGCCTCAGGCTCCCGTTGAGCTTCTCCTCATAGCCCTTGATCCCATCGGGCTTTCCTGGGAGCTCGTGGGGCACCTCCAGCCCTGCCAGGTCCTTCCTCTTGAGCAGGGCGAGCATCTTGAGCCGCTCCATGGCCTCGTGGCCCTCCATCTTCAGCCGCTTGGCCAGGACATCCTCGCGCTCCTCCGGCCCCGTCTCCAGGCCCCGCTTGAGCAGGTTCAGCCGCAGCGCGTCCTCCGTCATCCGCTCCATCCTGGACATGGACACAGTACCGTCAGCCGGGAGCAGAGTGGGATGGGGAATGGCACAAGGACACGGGCAGGGACAGGGAATGGGACAGGGACATGGACAAAGACACGTTAGGGACCAAGACAGGGACACAGGCAGGGAAAAGGGACAGGAGAGAGACAGGGACATGGTCAGGGATGGGGGAAAGAGGAGGGACAGGGACACCGGCAGTGTCCTGGATGTGGTAGATCCCAGTGAACCCCCCCAGGGTCCACTCTGAGCCCAACTCCAGCCTTGGAGAGCTCTGACTTCCTCGGAGAGCTCCGGCCTCCTCACGGAGCTCCAATCTCCTCACGGAGCTCCAACCCCACGGAGCTCCAATCTCCTCACGGAGCTCCAACCTCATGGAGCTCCAACCTCCTCACGGAGCTCCAACCCCACGGAGCTCCAACCTCCTCAGGAGCTCCAACCTCCTCAGGGAGCTCCAATCTCACAGAACTCTGACCTCTTTATGGAGCTCAAATCTCCTCAGGGAGCACCAAACTCCCCATGGAGCTCCAACTTCCTCATGGAGCTCAAATCTCCTCATGGAGCTTCAACCTCCCTGGGACCTCTCAATGCCAGACAAGTCAGGAAGGATCCTGGAAGGATCCTGAAGGGCAGGAGCTCCCCAGATCCCAGAGAACGGCGGTACAATTCCTTCCTCAGGATTCAAACCCCATAGATGCAACTTGGCAAGGAAGGGGAGCCGGAATGAATCCCATGGAAGCCTCTGGATTCAGGAAATCCCCCACCACGAGGTTTTCCAGGAGGATGGAGGTGCAAGCAGGTCCATCCCATCCACCTACCTCTCTGTGTTCCCACTCCGGCTCCAGGTGCAGGAATGCCCTGTGGAAAACAGGCAGGAGCCACGGAGCCCATCCCAACCCCAGAGCCAATTCCAGCCCCATCCCAACCCCGGAGCTCATCCCAACCCCATCCCAGCCCCGGAGCCCATCCCAGCCCAATCCCACTCCCAGGCTGATAAGGAACCAGCCGGGTGAGGCCTTTCCCTGCGGAGCAGAGCCAGGGACTGAGACAAACACCTAGGGAATGGGTGGGAATTCCACATGGTTGGTTCGGGAACGCTGGGAGCTTCACTGGCTCCGCAGGGAATGTGAAGTGTCCATGTCCTGAGCAGCTGGATCTCGGCCCCCGGAGCTGCTCCACACCCACCTTGGGTCATTCCCAGGATAAACCTTCCCCGAGCCAAAGCTCTGCTAGGAAAAGGCCCTGGCTCAGGTGTAAATCCCTGGAATGACACAGGGCTGGGACACAGGTTCAGCTTCCAGAGGCACAGAGACACCTCGCTCTTGGAACACGGGGGTGGGAAAACCAATGGAAATCCCAAATCCCGAGTAAAAGCCGGAAGGAGCCTCCAGGAGAACACCTGGGGCTCTTCCCACCTGCCCATCCCGGCTCCCGCACGTCTCCTGCTCCCAAATTTAGCCCGGCAGGTCCGAACAGGCCTCGGAGCCGCCCCTGCCTCTGTCCCACAGGAATGACCCCAGGGGGAAGCGGGAGCTGGGATGGCCCAGACAGCCGGGAGCGCCCGGAGCCGCGCCCGGCGCTGAGGCTGCTCCGCTGGGAACGCGCCAGCATCCCGGAGCTCGGCTGGGAACGTGCTCTCGAGAGTCACGGAGGAGCAGGAGGAGTCAGGAGAGGTTCGAAAGGGCCTCATGGGAACGGCATCCCACGGGATTCCTGCTGGGAATAACATAGGGAGCTCCCCACAGACACCTGAGCACGGCCAGGACCCAGCAGGGAGATCCAGAAGTGGATCCTAGGATGGATCCAGGATCGGATCCAAGTGGAGATCCCAGAGTGGATCCCAGAGTGGAGATTAAGGAATGGATCCAGAAGGGGATCCCAGAGTGGATCTAGGAATGGATCCAGGAGTGGATCGAGCTGGGGATCCCAGAGTGGATCCAGGAGTGGAGAACAAGGAATGGATCCAGAAGCGGATCCCAGTGTGGATCCAGGAGCAGATCCCAGAGTGGATCCAGGAGTGGATCTCCAGCCCCAGCAGGGAGATGTAGAAGCAGATCCAACCTCCCGGCCATCTTCCCCATGGATGGAGGGATCCTGCTGCCTCCTCTTCCTGCGGGAATTCCAGAGTTCCCCCGGTCCCACCACAAATGGGGGCTCCAGTGCCAGGGAGGTGCCACATCCCCAGCATTCCCAAATCCCTGAGCATTCCCGCATCCCCCAGCATTCCTGAGCATCCCCATGTTCCCCAATATCCCAGAATTCAGCATTCCCACATCCCCCTGCACTCCTGAGGATCCCACAGCCCCCAGCATTCCCAAATCCCTGAGCATCCCCACATTCCTGAGGATCCCCATGCTGCCTAGCATTCCCACATCCCTCTCCAGCATCCCAGTATCCTAGTGACATTCTAGCTTTGGAAAGTTACAGAAACACCATTTCGGGATGCAGAGGGAAATACTGGGAACAAAACCCTGGGAACAAGCCCCAGGGATCCCGGGAGCACTGAAATCCCTGAGCCAGAGGGAAGAGGGGGAAGGCCGGAGCAGCCCATGGATGCAGCTCCCACTCACAGGGATATAAAGTGAGGGCTCCAAGGATTCCCAAGGCCCTTCCCTCCGGTTTTCCAAACAAATCCAAGGTGCTGTTACCAGGAACGGGGCCCGCCGGTGTTTAATCCGCTCCAGAGGTTTTCCAGGCTCGGCCAGATCCAATAAAAAGTCAATGACGCTTTGGATTCCAGATCAAACGAGGCGCCTCGGCTGGAGGGGGCAGGGGAGGATCCACCAGGAATTTCCAGTGGGAAAGCCACAGGAGAGCCCTTAATTCCATCCAATACTCGGCAGCGAGGAGCAGGAGTTATTCCAATCCCAGGGATCCAGCGGCTCTGGAGCCAGGACAGTGGGAAGTTCAGGCCCCACTCCGGTCCCGGCACATCCCAAACCGGCTCATCCGGCCCCGCTGCCTCCGGCCCTGCTCCCAGGAATCAGCACATCCCAGGGAACAGGAGCTGCCTCTCCCTCCACTCCACTTTAAACAACCATCATCCCTGAAACGGAATTCCCAAATGGTGGCAAAACCCAGGGAAAACAGGAGCCAAATCCATGGGGCGCCTCCAACTGGGATTGTCCCAGGAACACTGTCCTGGAAACAGGATCCTGGGGCCGGAGTAGAGCCGAGATTCCAGAGGCTGCCAGGGTGGGATGAGCAGCGAGGGCTGACCTTGGAATGCTTTCCAGGAATCCCAGTCTGCCGGACAACGTCGTCCCAGTGGTAATTCCCAGTTTTCCGGGGGATCGTGGCTCCTGCTCCACGCACTCCCTGACGCATTCCATTGGCTCCGGGCGCTTCTCCCGCCTGGCAGGACAGGTTTGGCATTCCCAGACAAACAAAGCAGCTCCCCGTTTTCCATGGATATTAGATCCGGCTCCCACAGGGAAAACATCCAACCAAAAAAATGCCAATGGGAGGATTGGAAAGGCCGGGACGAGTTGGGCCAAAACCAGGGATATTCCAGTGGAAAAGGGAGAATATCCAGGGAGAGATGCGACCAGGATGGAGAATATCCTGGGGTTTATCCAATGGGATCCAGAACCGAAAGTTGGCAGTACCAGGAGTTAATTCCAGATGGAGTTTTTCCAGGGAAGCCCCACAAGGCTCCAGTCCCTTCCCGGAGGCTTTTCCATTGAGTCAATCTCCACGTTGGTCTTCCAGCCCCTATTCCTGGCCTCGGACCCTCCGGAGTCAATGGAGGGGGTGTAATCCCTGATCCACCCCTGGGATGATCCCTGACCCACCAGGAATGATCCCTGATCCACCTAGGATGACCCCTGATCCACCACGAGGGATCCATGCGGTCCCAGTGACTCCAGGTCTCCCTGTTTTCCTGACTCTGCTCCAGCAGCACTGGGAATTCCAGCAGCCCTGGAAGAGCCAAGGTGGATCCCAAGATCCTGCTCCAAGGGAGCAAGAGTGGGAAATCACAAATAAACCAGCCCAGAATTCCAGTATTCCCAGGAAGAGACACCTGCAGCAGCTTCCAGGAGCATCCCGAGCCCTTGGATATTCCCTTGGAACGGAAATTCCTGCTCTTCCCAAGCACAGGGATCCTCACTGCCCAACAACATTCCAGCTCCTTCTCCTGGATCTCTGATCCAGCACGAGGAAGAAGGGACACTGGGAGGGTGGAGCATTGGGAATTCAGCTCCAAGGATTCCTTCCTGAGCACCAGGAACACCATCCCGGCACATCCTGGGAGTCTCTCATTCACCACCCAAGTCCTGGTCCCTGCTCCTGCCCGGAATTCTCAGTGGGAATAAGCCCAGGAGGCAACATAGATATACCCTCCAATTCCCAACTATTTGGGGCTGGAATTCCCGAATCAATCCCAGGAGAGACCTGGCAGGTCAGGAATCAACATCCAAATCCAACATTCCATGTTATCCGGGATGTTGGGTGGGACCTGATGCCCCCCTGGCACATCCAGGCTGGATCCAAGAGGTTGAATCATCACCCCAGTCCCTCCAAATCCAGGGATTTGGATCCAGGAGTTGCTCAATGGCCCCATTCGGATGTTAAAAAATCCTGATATTTATGGGATAGAAAGCCATTTAAAGCCCCATTTTCCCAGTATCAGGGATGGGATCCAACTCATCCAACTCCCCTGGGCACATTCCTGCTGCCCCAAAACCCCCCAAATCCCACAGAAAACTGCTCTGATCCCGTGGGAAATCCGCGGAGTTGGCTCCTCATCCGGAGCCGTCCGGCTGGAATGCAGAGCCCGGAGCTGCCTGGGAGCTGCTCCCGATTCCATGCGGGATCGGCACATCCCGGCACCGGGAAGCGCGTTCCGACACGGAGTACAAAATGGCTGATTCCCAGGGCGAGCATTCCCAAGGAACGGCAGGAAAAGGATAACAACCTAAAAAGGTAATTAGGATTTAACGGCTCCGCGGCCGGAGTCAGATCCGCAGGAATCCAACGGGAAGGGAAGGGAAGGGAGGAAAACTCCAGGACGGAAAGAAAACTGCTCTGGATCCCACAGCTCCAGGTGGGGTCCAGAAACCTGGAGAAACACCTGGCTCCGGCTCTGGGCAGGAATTCTGAGGCAGGTGAGGGAGTCTGAGGGCGGATCCCAGAGGTTCTTCTCCAGGAGCTCCAGGATTTAAAGCGACACAAACAAAGGGAAAATCCCTGAAAAGCCCTTAGAAACGGCCTCGGAGTGGGATGGAGCCATCCTGGGATCCGGGGGGAGCAGCTGCTCCCAGTCCTGCAGATGCATGAGGGGAAGAGAATGAGGGAATAAGGGAAAGGATTTGGGAAGATGCATGGAAGGCTGACCGGGAGGTGGCAGAACAGGAATTCCTCTGGAGCAAATGGCTCCAGGGGCTCTGCTCTTCCCATTCCTGGATCCCAATGGGGGGAACACCTGTCCCTGCTCCGACACTCTGGGCCCAGACCTCGGATCTCCCACATCCTGGATCTCCATAGCCTGGATTTCCGACTCCCGATATCCCAGGCCCTGGATCCCCTGGATTCCAGATCTCCCAGATCCTGGATTTTCCACCCCTCAGATTCCAAGACACCAGAACTCCCAGATCCTGGATTTTCCAGACCCTGGAACTCCCAGATCCTGGATTTTCCACCCTTCAGATTCCAAGATGCCAGAATTCCCAGATCCTGGATCTCCCAGATCCTGGATGCCTTGGATCCCTCAGATTCCAGATACCACTGCTGGCCCAGTCCCTGGATTCTGCAGCTCCAGGTCAAGTCCAAACCTAATGATGGGAAGCAGGAAAAGTGGGAAAGGAGGAAAATCCTCCCTTCCCAAAAAGTGCTTCTTTCCCTCTTCCCTCCCAAATTTGGGGTTTTTACCCAACTCCATTTATTGGGAGCAGGGAATCCTGGCTCCATGTCTGGTTCCAGAGGCCTCACCCCTCACCCCATCCCGGCAGTTTTGGGATGTGGGAATTCCAAAAGCCCTCATATGGGGGGGGAAGACCTAAAAACTCTAAAAACCAGCTAAAAATTCCTGGGAATTGGCCAAATTTTGGGGGTAAAAAAACCAGAAAATGCTCCAGGAGAATAAAAAGTGATGGAAAACGATGGGAATGGCGGGGGGGGAGGGGAGGGAGCGCCCGGCTCTGGCCCCTGGGCCCCCTCCCCATCCGGGATGACGCAAACTTCCCAGGCTTCCTTATATAACCCTTCCCGATTTCCTCGACTGCGGAGCCGCCTTTGTGCAGCCGCTCCGGATCCGACCTCGGAGTCATTGACCCCCCCCATCCCATCCATGATCCCAATAATGGGACACCGACCCGCCAGAAAACCCATCCCAAGCATCCTCATTCCCTGTCTTTTCACCCATTCCTGCAGTCAGGGCGGGATCTGATCACTCCGGAATAGCAATGGTTGGGAGCAGGGATGAGGTGGGAAAAGGGGGGGGGGGCTGGAAGCGGGGAAAGGGAACTGCGACTCCGGCAGCAAATCCAACCTTAAAACATCCCCTTAAAACATTCCCTTAAAACATTCCCAGCCAGCAAAACCAGCGGGAAAGCCCATCCGTGAGGAGCCTTTTGTGTGTCTCCCATTCCCAACATTCCCGATAACCCCGGGATGGGCTTGGGGATACTCACAGGTCCAAGATTCCCGCTGCTGGTTCCAGTTGGCAGGAAAATTAAGGCTGGGAGTGGGGGGAGAGCAGCGGGAAGGGGCAGGAGGAGCCAGGGGTCGGGAAGGAGGGGGATCCATCCCCCTGCGGAGCGTGGCCAGAGCCGGAGCCGGAGCGGCTCCGAGCGGGCCCTTCCCTGCCAATCATGCGCCGTTGGAGATATTAAACAAAAGAAAAGGGGGATGCTGACGGACTGCTTCCCATCAGCCCTCGCGGGAAAGGGAAAAAGAGAAGGGGAAAAAAAAGGGAATAAAAAAAAAAGGAAAAAAAAATCCGATCCGGTCGGAGCCGGTTTTCGGCACCTCCGGCCGCGGAATTGGAGCCGGGTTCGGGGAGGGGGGAATTGGGGGGATATTCCCGGTTTTTGGGTGCTCTGGTTCCCCGCCCCCACCCCTGGCCCCCCGCCAAACTTTGTCTTCATTCATGGAAGCTCCTTCCCTCCCATGGAATTTTAACTCCTTCCAGCCCGAGGAGGAGCCGCCAGAGTCACCGGGAGCCACCCCCACCCCATTCCCTAAAAACCTCCTGTTCCTGAGGTTTGGGGGTGGAAGAGGAGCGGCCTCAGCAGCACCCGGGCCGGAGCAGTGAGGGCAGGGAGAGGATGGACAGGGATTCCCAGGAATGTGCCCTGGGATTGCAGGGAATGCAGGAAGGGATGAGGGTGAAGATGCCGGAGAAGAGGCTGAGGGATGTCAAGGAATGTGCCAAGGAATAAAGCGAGGGATGTGGGGGAAGATCCTGAGGGATGTCAAGGAAGAGGCCGAGGGATCCAGGTGAAAATGCTGAAGGATCCCGGCAAAGATGCCAGAGAAGATGCCCAGGAATGCAACAAAGATGCCAAGGAAGATGCCAGAACTCCAGTGGAGATGCCAAGGGATCACCAGAGAAGATGCCAGAGGAGATGCCAAGGGATGCTGAGGAAGATGCCAGATAAAAAGCCAAGGAAGGGGCCAAGGAAAATGCCAAAACCTTGGGGAAGGTGCCGAAGGATCCGGGCAAAGATGCCAGAGAAGATGCCCGGGAAAGCAGCAAAGACACCCAGGGATGGGGTGGGGAGATGCCAAAGAAGATTCCACATCCCTGGTGAAGATCCTGAGGGATGAGGGCAAAGATTCCAGAGAAGACGCTGAGGAAGATGCCAAGGAATGTGGAGGAAGATGCTGGAGAAGAGGCCAAGGGGTCCTGGCAAAGATCCCAAAACCTTGGGAACGACACCAGGGATCCCAGGAAAGATGCCAAGGGATCCCAGGGAAGATGTTGAGGGATGTGGCCAAGAACCTCTTGGTCCGGACAGATTCGGTGGGTTTGGAATCTCCCCTTCCCTCTGGCACCAGAGAGGAAAGATCCGGTGGGATTTTGGCTCTCTCAAACCTCCCACTGAGCTGCTCCAGCCCAATTCCAGAGGTGGAAACACCCAGAGATGGAGAGTCCTAGAGATGGAGAACCCGTCTTTCCAACTAAAACATGGGAGGTTTACATGGGATATTGGGAAGGAATTTCTCCCCGTGAGGGTGGGGAGGCCCTGGCGTGGATTATTCTGAGAATCCAGGGCTGCCCCATCCCTGGGAGTGCCCAAGGCCAGGTTGGACAGGGTTTGGAATGATGGGAAGTGTCAGATTCTCCCAAAATACACCAATAATCCCCTAATTCCCAACACCCTGGAACTTCCATGGCTTTATTCCACCCCTGGGCTGCAGAGAGTCCGGGAATTCTGTGGCATTTCCACTCTGCCGGAACCCCTGGTTCACCTTTCCTGGATAAAAAGGAACATTTTGGTTTCCAAAGGGGGAAAGGACCAACTGGCTTTAATTTCCATGGATTTCTCCGCTGAGGAGGGGGTGGGATGGGCCCTGGGATGATTTTTCCCAGGCTGTGTCCATGGAAAACATGGAGAGAGCGGAGAAAGGTGGGATTAAACATGGGGAGTCTGGAAGAGGATCAGGGATGAGAATCTCCCAAAACCTTCCCAAATCTCGTGGGTTTGGGGGAAGAAATGAGGAGCGTGGGGCCGAAGGGAAGGTTTGGCTTCGGGAAACTTCTCTTCCCTATGGAATGAAGGAACCATCTGCCTCCAACATCCCACTCCCAGGATTCCAGCCCCATCCACAGACCAGGAACCCACTGGTCCTCACTGGTTCCCACTCCCCACATCCATCCCATGGGAAAACACCAATGAGATCCCAGGAGGATCCTGGGAATGTCCCTCCTCCCCTTCCCTCTCCCACCTCCTCATCCTGTCCTGGCCAAATATTCCCTTAGATCCCATTCCCTGGTTTTTAGGACCATTCCAGGCTGTTTTCCCACCCTCCTCCAGCCTTTCCATCCCTGTTTTATGCCAGGAAGAGGCTTGGGAGGAGATGAAAACATTCCTGGCACACTCAGAGAGCTGATTCCTCCCATCCATCCTCATCCCATCCCGCTGCTCCGGCCCTTCCCACGGATCCTCAGGGCCAGGAGGGGGGAAGGAAGCGGGAAAACATCATTTTGTGGAATTTTGGAGGGGTTTTCCCTACGGATCCATTCCCTGGATGCTCCTGTTTCCAAGCTCAAAAGGCCTTTGAGGGAGCGCCTGCCAAGAATTCCTTTGATCTGGCTGCGATTCCCGACCCCAATCCATGATCCACAGGTGATCCCAGGCAGAAAACCCTCAGCTCCGAGGCTGATTGGCTGGACTGGCCCTGTTTTCTCCTCATTTACAGGGATTTTGGGATCTAACACACCAGGGAGGGGGTGGGAAGGGTCTCCAGAGGGTCTCTGGGCTGACCGACATTCCCGCTTTCCCAGGGAAGAGGCGGTCACTCGGAAAAGTGGGATGAGATGGTCCTGAGTGAATTTATTGGGATGAAATTTTGGGGAAGTTTTAGGACCAGGAGACCCCCAGGACCCGGCTGAGCTCATCCCCAAATCCCTTGGATGAGGCACAACCCCAAATCCAAAGGGTCCCTGGATCTCCGTCTCCCCCCAGCATGATCCCTCAGGAACAGTCTTCCTCCAAAATGGAGGATTCCTGGATCAAATTCCTGGATTTTTTGGACCTTCCTCCTCCTCATCCAATGGTGGCCGATCAGCTCCATCCCAATACTTTTCCCACCAAGTGCTTGGGAAAAGGTTTGGGAACACCGGAGGACAATCCTACAGGGAAAGGGATGGGTTTTCCCTATATTTTCCAATCCTTGGGAATCCAAAGCCAGTTGATCCCAAGGAGAAGTGGGAATGAGGCCTCTCCAACAAACCCAATGCTGGGAAGGACTCCCTGGAATGGTACAATCCCATTTTCCATGGATTATTCCAATGTCAGCTGGGATCAACCCCTCCAAAACCCATCTTTCGCCTGATCCCTTTGGAATTTGGGTGCCATTCCCACCCTCATTATCCCCATCCAGCCGCTCCCGCTTCCCATTCCAGCTGTTTCCAGCACTTCCAGGAAAAACCAGCAAGTGGTACTTGGGATTTCGGGATCCGACATCCCACTGAGGCCATTCCTTGGAAAATCAGGCCATGGGCAAATTCCCTCTAATTCCAGCCCCCAGGACTGTCATTCCAAACCCAGGGCAGAGACTCTGGATGCGGATTCCGAAGTGCCACTGGTTTGTGGGAATTCTTGCCGGGAACGAACAATAAGCCCTGGGAACGCCCCTGTTGGAGCAGCCTTGGAATTTTTCAGGTCTCCAAGATTTAACTGGAATCAGGGATCAAGGACAAGGGGAAAATGCACCAGCTTTTGAGCTGCTCAAGAAAGGCCATGGAGCCCTTGGGGAATTCTCAACTACGGTTGAGTTCCTTTCCCTCAGAATTCCCTGGTTTAGATGAAATTCCAATGGAGCATCACCCCTGGAATGGCGGCAAAGGTGGTGAGGCAGCAGGAGATTTCCTGTGGATACAGGAGCAGCAGCTCCCGAGTTAAGGGCGGGTCTGAACTGGGAGCAAACTGGGAGCAAATCGGGAGCAGCCCAAATTCCCAACCCTGCCCTCAGCCAACAACTCAACATGAACAAATCCCGGAATTTTAGGTGGATTTGGGGGAATTTTACATGGAGTTCGGGGAATTTTAGGTTGATTTGGGGAACTTCAGATGGATTCAAAGGAATTTTAGGTGGATTTGGAGGGATTTTAGGTGGAGCTTGGGGAATTTCAGTTGGATTTGGGTAGCGTCTCCTTCCTGAGGGTACACATGGGATTGGCTCGGTCCAATCCCAAAAATCCAGGATTTACACATCCATTCTCTGAGATTCCATGAGAACAAAGCCTACGTTTTTTTGGAAAACATCCCCAGGCCTGGAAAATGCACCCAAATCCAACTGCTCCCATCCCAAGGAACCGGTGTGGGATCCTCCAACATTCCATTGGGATCTTCCAACATTCCATAGGGACTCCAAAATGGGACAATCCCAGAATTCAGCCCCAAAATCCCCACTCCAACCTCATCCAGCAGAACTGGTGGATGAGGGATGGGACTCCATGGATGTACATGGAATACCCAAAACACCTGGATTTGGATCTTTGCCCGCCCAAATTCCTGGGACATGGAGCAAGAAAGGAGCCAGGAAAAGGGGGTACTGGGATCCCAGAATCCCAAAGGATCAGGAGCATGGCACTGGCACTGTCATGGATCCCTGGGGTGGATCCAAGAGACTCCAATGGCACAAGGAATGGGGGACCCACAGGGATAAGGGATCCCTATGGAGGAGAGAGATCCCTATGGATATGGGAGGGATTCGTATGGATATAGAAGATCCCTATGGATGGGGGTGTCCCTAAGGAAGGGAAAAACCCCTACGGATGGGAAGGATCCCTATGGATGGGGGGGATCCCTATGGATACACCAGGTCCATTTCTCCCCCAGGGCTCCCAGAGCACCATGGATGCCCCAAATCCCGGGATGTGCCGGCGTGTCCCAGAGCAGAGGGGGGACTCTCCCTGCAGCCCCCAAACCCTCCAGGCTCCCCCAATCCCTAAAACCCCCCACATTCCCACAAATCCAGGGCCGTCTGTGCCATCCTGGCCCAGCCCCCACCCCGGGAGCGAATCCTCCCACACTCCTGCCGGGAGGAGCTTGTTCCGGATCCCATTCCCGATCCCTGCTCCCCCTTCCTCCTCCTCCTCCTCCTCCCGACCGGCAGCGGCCAAGGAGGCTCCAGAAAATCCAAGATATCAAAAAAAACCAGATCACAACGGCCGCGGAAAAGCCGATGGATCTTCCTCCCCACTCCCACATTCCCGTCTCCTCCTCCTCCCCTTTTCCCGGCAATACCCCCCCTCCCCGCCATCACAGATCCCTTTTCCAGGCTCCAAGGGGATGGGAAAGCACCCGATTTGGGGAATCTGGGAATGGATTTTTCCCTG